TCCAGTTTTTTTTTAACCCTGTTATGCCAAAATGTATCATATTTGACACCTTTTGCATAATTTAATGGTAAAAACTTTGCTCAAAATCCTATTGTACACAATCAGATACACCTGATAACAGGGGGCAGAAGACTACACAAAAAAAAATCTTGACTTATCGCATAGTAATAAATTATTAATGTTAAAAAAGATATTCACAAACAATTTGTGTATCGGCCGGCAGGAGAGATGCAGATCCAGACTCCAGATCCATTTTTTTTTTAACCCTATAATGCCAAACGTATCATATTTGATACATACGGTTTCTAAAATGTTTTGTGTCTGACTCCTTTTGCATAATTTAATGGTAAAAATTTTGCTCAAAATCCTGTTGTACACAATCAGATACACCTGATAACAGGGGGCAGAAGACTACAGAAAAATAATATTGACTTATCGCATAGTAATAAATTATTAATGTTAAAAAAGATATTCACAAAAAACTGCGTATCGGCCGGCAGGAGAAAAAGCAGATCCAGACTCCAGATCCAGTTTTTTTTTTTAATCCTGTAATGCCAAACGTATCATATTTGATACATAAGGTTTCTAAAATGTTTTGCGTCTGACTCCTTTTGCGTAATTTAATGGTAAAAACTTTGCTCAAAATCCTATTGTACACAATCAGATACACCTGATAACAGGGGGCAGAAGACTACACAAAAAATAATCTTGACTTATCGCATAGTAATAAATTATTAATATTAAAAATGTATTTTTCTTTTTACATATTTTGTTAAAAGGCCAAATAAGGAATTCAAACCAAAAAAAAGTAATTTTCTGTTTTGTTTTATTCTTGGATCAGGCTTTAAAGGGTTAAAGTCCGATCCCACACTAGCATTAGCATTAGCATCTCCTAACCCACAGGTCTGTGTCCTAACCATTAAGACGGCCATGTAAATTTAAAGCTAAAAATGTCAGTCCTATTTTGTGTTTATCCCTGATTAAACAGGTTCAGTGTCTCATATTCAAACTCACCTAATTCAGCTGGTTAGTTGTTATCAGAGTAAATCCCTGTTCAACATGAGTCTGACAACTAAATAAGTAGATAAATAACTTTAAACTTTAATACATGCTCTGATAGGCCGGGATCGGTATCGGATCAGAAGAGAAAAAAGCTAGATCGGGACATCCCTAGGCAGGATGTCTAAGGCAGAAAGGCTATCAAAAACCTTAATAGTCCATTCCACTTTGCTGTGTTGTTCCATAATATCCAGGCCCGCCATTTTCTAGCACAGCCTTAAGCTTTAGCATTAGCATTAGCATCTCCTAACCCACATGTCTGTGTCCTAACCATAAAGACGGCCATGTAAATTTGAAGCTAAAAATGTCAGTACTATTTTGTGTCCCTAGCTGGGACGTCTAAGGCAGAGCGACAGAAAGGCTAAAGAACAGCTATCACAAACCTTAAAGAAAAGCTAGTTCATGGACTAAACAGGGTTAAAGGGTATTGAAGCGTCTCTAACCATGTTCCAGAGTCTCCCTGAGACCTGATTTAGTATCTGGGTCCGTGTTAGGGAGTCCTGTGGTGGGACTCTGGGGACTAAAGCAGATCGCTCTTCACAGGTAAACTCAGAGGGCTTAGCCTGTAGTGGGAGTGTAAAAGGGAGAGCAGGAGCATACTTTAGCTCTGACTTTAGCTCTGACCTCGGCCCGCCACATGACGAGAGAAACAGCCCAGTTATTCCTGTTACACAATCAAACTTCTGTTTACCTCCATTGTTTCCTCACACACACTTAAAGAGAACATAGTGGACCTGTTCCAGGAGGACACGACCAGAGAAACCCGAGTCCTGTCCAGCTGCTTTGTGCTGGTTAAAGCTCTTCCTGGAATAGATGCCTGGAACACAACAAACAGGAATCACAAACAGAGCCCCACTCACTCCTGGTTTCACCAGGTAGAGAACGGCCTCCACCTCCTCTCACCTGTCGGCCATGAGCCAGAATAGCTGCCCTGAACAGGTTTAAAAGCAGGGATCTGAAACGGGGAGTAATATGTGTGCGGTTGGAGCCTCGTCCTGCAGTGAGAGGCTCTGCCACCAGGGGGCAGCGTCACACTGAATCTGACAGGCTTCCTGTTAGCTAAGTTTCTAATCCAGGAGTACACGGCCCCACTTTTGAGGTCATCCACATAAGGGAAAAGAATCCCCTTTACAACTTAGTCTTGATTTAGCCGATGGGAAGCAGCTGGATGGGCCCAGTTAGAGTTTACACCGAATAGTTTGTAGAGTACGAGTCCTCTGCTTCAGACTCAGGACTCAAAACAGTTTAGTTAAAGCTCTGATTAACCCGATCAGAGCCAGAGGACGGTGCTGGTTGGATGGAAATGCAGCCATAAAAAGATGGGTGAACAGAGAGAAGAGTGGCTGAGAATGAGGGGAAATCGTTAGAAATCAGAGTCCAAATGCCAAACTATTGGATTTGGTCAAAGCTCTAAAAAGATAAGGTGATCTAAAAGTAGAGTGAATGAGTCCCGATCCTCTGTAATCTCTGTCTGATTGTTGTTGTCCATTTAGTTTAGTCTTTAATCATTTATTCCAGTTTAATACTCATGTGAAAATAATGCTCACTACAGACGTTTGTGTGAGAAATGAGAAATTCCTCCCTTTGCACGATAGCAAAAAAAATGCTTATAAAGATTTTAAATACTAGACTCAGCAGTCCAGTTCAAACCAGCTGGAACACAATCAGTTCAAACACAAGTCTCACCGGTCTTAAAGAAACACGAACAGGAGTAGATGGCTAACCTGTTCAGTTTAAATGTTCAGCTCTAAACTTTACAGAAACCTCCCGTTTCCATCAGAGTGCATAAAAAAAGTGTCCCTTCAGAGTTTTAATCTCCTGTTTTCACATAGAAGGCTGTTTCTCATTGGCTCTTCATATCACCCTCTCACCATACAAACAATTTTTCTATACTATTTGTTCCCTTCAAATAGCATTCAAATATTTATTTGAGTAATTGTAGTTGATGCTAATGTCTTTCCAAAAGAAGACGTACATATCTGTCCTATTGTTTTCAATATAAAACATGTTGGAGCCGTTTGCATTCACAAAGCACCTTCTAAATAATAGCATCCGTCCCTTTTATTTTGGTGAGATGCTTGTTTTTCTGTCCAAATAAAAGAAGTCTTCGCTCTTTTATGCTTTTGAAAAACTGGGAATCTGGGACAGCCTTTGGTTTGAATGAATTATATAGCCTAGTGTATTTTTTTTTTAAGATACACAGCTCAAAAAAGAGAGCAGCAGAGAGATAAGATGTGAAATAACACATTGAAACCAAAGGGGATAAAAGAAATATTGTAATACTTAAACACAGGAGCACTCTATAAAATGTCTGACTACTCTGTAATACCTTAAACCCTTGGGAGGGTTACACAATTTTGTCTTGTATTTGGAAATTATTGCTCATTTTGTATTGCGTAAAAGCAACTTGTTTCTATAAAGTCAATACTAGAGTAGGGTTGTCGAAAGTATCGATACTCCAAAACATATGGATACTAAAACTAAAGAAAGCCAAGGACGGATATCCAACTGCCCCACATCTAAGTCGGCCATTTTGATTAGGTCACCAATAGGAAGATCTAACCCTAACCCAGGCAAGAAAATCCTAATTGCTTCATCGCAATATAGACATTCATTTAAAAATAGTGAAATGAATCTTGCAAACACTGAATTAAACTCTATACATAATATTATGTTAAAATAGTGGATGTTAAATCGGTTTGTACAATAAGTCCAAACAAGTTTAACCAAAAAATATTTTTTTCCCACAATTATGAAGGGTCAGGGTCAGGGTCATGGTCATTAATCATTAATAACATCAGTAATAATTCAGTTAAATTTTGGT